TCCCTACACCAGGTATTGCCCATTTTTAATTAAAGAAAAAGACAATAAAGCAGCAGTAATAACTGAATATGACTTTTTCAGATAAAGTGAAGACCACAAAAATATTTGAAAAAAAAGGAACTGGCTACTGAAAAGCAATTTTTAATTTAAAAAATAGCTGAATTTGTCTTATTAGTTCATGTTGGGAGTTGAGGACAAAAAAGAAAACAAGTATACATACAGTCAGCATTTTTCAATGACTGCTTCTTTTTGGAAGGTTTGGAGATGACTTTTATCCGCTTGCTGAGGAACACACCAATGTCATCACTATTGCCATAGAACATCTTTACAGAGAGCATGAAGTGCTTTCTCTTGTCTGAATCAGATATATACAATGTTTTGGCCGTGCAATAGTTCTGTGAAAGAAAAGGCAAGTTTTAATAGCACCAAAACCCTGTCAGCTATGTACCTACAACTCAGTATGGCCACGTCTAAGTTTGATCAGACTTAAAGGCAGTAATTCCACAGAAGAGCTGATAAAACCAACTGTGAAAAGTACTGATCTCTGAAAACAAAGTACAAAGTCTTCCTTATCAAGTCTACGAAATACTAACACTGTGCTGTTTTCCCCTCTCAAAAAGGCTTTTAAAAAATAGCCTTTTCTTGTTTTATACAGCTCTACATCTATTTCACAGAATTACCAATGTTATAGCAGTAATTTTTTTAAATAAAATTTTACAGTTAAAAAATTCCATGACTGTCTTTCTGCAAATAAGATAAAGAAGGCTATCGGAACTCAATTAAATTATGTAAAAGATTTTAGCACTGATCCTTCTCAAAATAGTGCATACAGCGTTTTTTCTTATATAGCCGAACACTAGAGTAACCCCCCATGAGTCTGAGGAAAACAATATTTTTTGAAATAGCTAACACTTTGCCCAATGGGATAATTCCTACTGCATCACCAAAAGAACTGAATTTAAAGGTACTAGAGAAAACAAACGCAGCAAAGTACTATGTCAGTTTACCAGAAATTAAATTCTGGTAACTGAAAGGATAGTATTAAAGAGTTATAGCACTTGCAAAATAACAAAGATGCTCTGAAATGCTACTATTTCAACTACATATGACAATTCTAAAATCTTTCCTATTCCCTTGATCCCTGTGAATGAGGGAAGAGGCTAAATTATTGATCTATTTTTCCAGATTGGGTAAATAATGCTGAAGTACAGCTTAAGTATTTAAAAATCTGAAATATATATATATATATATATTTTTTTTTTTTAAATCATTGCTCTACTTTAAAATTAGGCTAAACAAGTTTCTTGACTACCTCTGCTGTGTGTTCCTTTTAAAAAGTAGCGCAAATGCCACTCATTTAGAAAATAACTAATGGGCTCTAGGTGTTTAATCTTTAAAATATTACTCACAGCCAATTTTAGCACCAGAACAAAAATCATGCCATACTTTATTTCATTTCTCAACAGCCAAGTTATATAAGAAAATTTAGGTGCTGTCTTGAATATTTTACTCAATTAAGTTTTTATAAATTCAAAAGGGTGATAAAAGCTTTGAGAGGCTTTGTTCTGCACAAGGCAAAGTTAAGATAAAGCTCATATAAGTAATAAGAAAAATTAAAACAACAGCCTCTGCACTCGCTCAGCTCCTTTCACTCCAGGATCTCTAAGTGCTCAGGGATGCTGAACCATGGCCCTGCCGTACTTTAAAAAGCTCTGAAAGTCAAATAAAGCCTGAACTATGGAATTATTCTACAACGTAAGACAAAGTCTAGGAAGATAGGTACTGATACACTGAAGGAGAGTACTCCCATGTAACAAAAATAAAATGTGTATCTAAATGAAAGCAATTAAATTCTAATGGCAAAACTTAAAAATGATGAGATCACTTAATTTGAGTGTTAACATTAGGGGATATGATCTATATCAGAAAAGAGAAAATACTGAAATCTAGCATAAATGATAAGGCAGACTGGCAAACAGGAAAGGAAAAAAGAGCAGAGAAAATTGGGTCATAACACAGACACTCAAAGGGCTTTATTTTGTTTGGAAAAAGCAAACATACATATATCTCCTTGGAAGGAAAGGAAATATACCCCTAATTACAAAAGTGAGTAGTTTGAATCCACAAAAAAATTCTAATAAAGCTATCTCAGATACAATTTATTATTTTTTAAAAGCTATAAAGCTACTGACCACAAACTACTCAAATTTCACACACACAAAAAAAAGGACAAGTCACTGATTCAGAAAGAGTATTACGGCTTTAAGACGCTAAGTAAATAAAAACTGAAGTTACATTTGCTTCATCATACCAAAAGGCTAAATTAGCTAATAAAATTCTAAAACAGAAAATGGCATATAATAAATCTGTCTATAAACAATGAACAGTTTAACTTAAAAAACAACTTTCTGAAGACAAGATCTTCAGGCAAGAAAAAAAATCTGCCCTGAAATAAAAAATACCAAATATAATGCTACAAAAGTTTATAGAAATATCTGAATTGTAGAATTTGAATTATATAAACAAAACAATACTAGCAACATAGGTGTAGGGGATGTAATTCTTTAAAATAAAAATACAAGTGTGCTATAATTAGGGAAGTAATTCATGTTGCATAGCTTACCTAGCTCCAACTATGTAAGACAAAAACTGAGGAAATGAATAGTTAACAAATTAAAAACATCAGATCCAACATATTACCAACATATAGTTAAATGTCATGACCATAAAATAAGGGCTGTATATACTAGAACTTTGTTTTAATGAAGATTAAAATAAGGACAAATACCCAATAATGCAAAATAAAATCCCTCCTTTTTCAATAATGACTAATTGTACCATTCAATGAACAGGCTGTTGAAAGAAAATAACATTACCTTAAATGAATGGAGGTTAAGTGAGATAGGACCAAAGTGCCTCTTTCTGAAGCTCAGCATCTATCCACTGCTTGGTCCATCTTTGCCTACCTGGACCCCAACTTACCTTGTTCCTGTACCTTGATGGTCCAAGCATATGATTATGTTGTTCTTTCTGCCTGGAATGACTTCTGCTGATTCTCAACCAGTCTTATTCTCTATAGACTTCTCTAATAGCATTTTTCAATATAACTAAATATTAACACATAATTTTGGCATACAGACACTGTACTACCCTGTAAGTAGGTGTTTTAAGCACTATTTAATGCTCAAGCTCTCAGGTATTCTCTTCTGCAAATTTCCAGGGCTTGGGGAAAGGATATAATGGCAGAAGTTGAAGAAAGATGTACTAAGCCATTATGCTGAGAAAAGCAAGTGGGGGTGCTGTTTGTTTGTTATTACCTCCCTTAAAATTGCTGGAAGCTGGAAGTGTTAAAGCAAGCAATGAAGTTCAATTAACACAATTACATACAATGGTAGCTAGAATCCCTGGCTTCTTACTACCTATCTGATCTAATTACCATTCACAGTTCCAAATGTCTAGATGTACAGCTTAGAGACATATCACTAAGACTTCCTATATAACAGAAAAATAGATGAGACATGACTAAGGCCTCTTTGTTCAACCCACTACTTAAATATATCTTTTACCTTGGCTCAAGGGTCATAATTCAGAAATATTTTACACTGCTCTATTTTAAGATGAAACAACCTTTACTGTAGTAAGTTTTATCCCAAACCTAATTTAAAATACATAGTTGACAAGCCTTAATGATAAAAACATAATGATACAAATGACATAAACATACTCAAATTTGAAGGAGGTTGATACTAAGGCTCCTTATTCTCAGTGCTCATTATCTGTAAAATGACTAAAATTGAATGAGAGTACAAATCTGCTAGCTCACCACCCTCTCAACCTTGCCCTCCAAACTCCCATTCTTAGTGTCGGCTACAATACAGCAAACACTAAGACATTCAACAAAGACTTACTGAATGAGAAAACAGCTATTTATGCAGTACTTTAAAAGACATTCATGTAGTCACTGAAATCAGAAATAACCATTTTTCAAATTTTAATATCAAGAGAAAACAAAGTAATAACTAATACTAAGTCACTGAAGAACTACTTTTGAAAACTAAAGGTACAGACTGAAATAACTGCTTTCTAAATCCATAAAATACAATTAGTAAAACTAACTCATAAATTTTATTCCCTAGTAAAGTAATCAAAGAAAATACCTAAAAGTTTGAGTAAAGGTAATCATGGCTGTTCTTGTCTACACAGCATATTTCTGTTCTACACTGAAGCTAAGTAAAACATTTATGATGTTTATAACCCATAATACTTTGTTTCTAGTATAAGACTAAGATTAAATGAGTAGAATAAAACATTATTGAACTATGTATTTTCATTGTTGTTTGACTACCATGCCCCTGTCAGATGGATGAGCAATTAGCCCCCTATACTGGCCCCCAACAGAAATCTGATTCACAGCCTGCTAAAACTGCTAGCAAGCTGAGGAAGCTTATTGTGTGCCACCTTTAGATGTCAACAGCCCAAGCTCCATGAATCATGACTAAACCACAGCTAGTTGAGAAGTTTACTTCTGGTTCTGATTTATATATTCAAAAGAGTGCTACCAATAGCCATAAAAGGAAAAAAACAATCACCACTACAAAAACAAGTAAGAAAACTGCATTCTGGTACCATGGTTCTCTTTACCTTTCCTTCCAAGTTCAGCTGCTGCATTTCTTGGTCACTATTTCCTATTCCAATAAATGCACATGGTTGAGACTCTTGTTCAGAACAACCATCGCGTTCCATTTGTTCTTTTTTTTTCTTCCATCCACTGCCCATAAGATATACACAAGGAGGAGGGCAAAAGAACCTTAAACAATGAGAGGGAAAAAACACAATGCAATTACATTCAAGAAAGCATTTCCTTTTCTTAAACACATGAATACAAAATCATGCTGAACTACACAAGGTTAGCTCCTAATGAAACATTTTGGTGAAGTCTTTTGTAATGCAAATAATCATATCCACAGCACAGAAATCAAGACTTCCACTTCCATTTGTTCAGGTAAGGTTCATCTATATTGATGTTATGCATTCACTTAGCCTAGATATTTTTTAGAGCAGGGAACATCTCTTTTCACATAGCTCAGAGTTTTGAACTACTGCAGTTCAACAAATCCAAAGCACTCTAACATATACAAAACATGGTATACCATCACAGAATCTGCAGTTACTGATTAACGTCTACTCAAAATGATGTATCATTAATTAATGACATTCTTGGTATGGATATTACTCTTAACTTCATTTGGTAATTAACCTGGAAAACAGAATTAGAGCAATGCCCAAAGTAGAAAATTTTGAAATACTAATACAACTAAGTAAAAGAATTAAAAGCAAAATGGATCATTGGATTACTATATATCTTACATCCTGAACCCCTGCTGTACGTGGATGACTGAAAGAAAAATATACTGTATCCTTTCAACTCACAACCAAGAGATTTGTTTTGCTAGTTGCCAAAAACCCGCCCTCACAAATTCTTCCCACCTAGAATAATTACCTTATAATCTTCTCTTAGTAATTACAAAATATCTACTTCAAAGCCTAGCTCAGGCAGGCCCCACATTTTACATAGTTCAGACCATCAATCCAGTCCTTATGTAGGGCATAATTCCTTTGCTCAATCACACACTGACTTACACATACTTTAAAACACTTATGTCGGGACTTCCCTAGTGGCACAGTGGTTAAGAATCCACCTGCCAATGCAGGGGACACAGGTTTGATCCCTGGTCCAGGAAGATCCCACATGCCGCGGAGCAATTAAGCCTGTGCGAAGCCCGTGTGCCTAGAGCCCGTGCTCCACAACAAAGAGAAGCCATCTGCAATGAGAAGCCCTTGCACCACAACGAAGTGTGTAGCCCCCGCTCGCCGCAACTAGGGAAAGCCCGTGCGCAGCAACGAAGAACCAATGCAGCTAAAAATTTAAAAAATAAGTAAATAAAATAAAGTTTAAAAAACATTTATGTCATGTCTCGTCAAGGGGCCTGAAAACTCAAATACCTACTCAAATAGTAGCCAAGTAAATTCAAATAGCAGCCAGGTAAGCAATATAAATGGGCGGACCAGCTGTACAATAAATAAGTAAAAATATCCCTTAATTACCCAAGGAAGTAGGTTCCCTCCCTTCTTTCTTGAAACACACAGCCCTCATGGTAATTCCCACTTTTTGTATAGCTGTAAGCATAGAAATTTCTTTCTTAATCTTTTAAGCCCACTGTAAGAAAAAAAAAAAAGAGCTTAACTGCAAAGAGCATCAGCCAATGCCGTGTGGCTGTGATGACAAGGAAACAACTGGGATCAGCAAGCATGTGAGTATACACTCACCCACCCATTCACAGGGCTGAACTATGGGCATGGAGGCCTAGTGCTGGCCACATCCTCCAACTTCCCAATAGTTGCCTGAAATCAAGTTTTACATGAAATTCCTAATTTTAAAATTTGGCAAATAATTTATGTTTTTTAACACTTTTTAGGCCAACAATGTACAGACTTAAAAAAATAAAAAACTAAAGAACTGTACCCAGGCATGTGTGTGTACGTACATACACACAGATAGCATCATGCTGAATTTAGCTTTCAGGCCACCCTAAAGGTAGTAAATTGGGAGGCTGGGGTCAACATATATATACTACTATGTATACTAATGAGAATCTACTGTGTAGCACAGGGAACTCTACTTAGTGACCTGTGGTTACCTAAATGGGAAGGAAATCTAAGAAAGAGTAGATACATGTATACATATAACTGATTCATTGTCCTGTACAGTAGGAACTAACAACACTGTAAGGCAACTATATTCCAATAAAAATTAATTAAAAAATAAATTAGGGCTTCCCTGGTGGCGCAGTGGTTGAGAGTCTGCCTGCCGATGCAGGGGACACGGGTTCGTGCCCCGATCTGGGAAGATCCCACATGCCGCGAAGCGGCTGGGCCCGTGAGCCATGGCCGCTGAGCCTGCACGTCCGGAGCCTGTGCTCCGCAACGGGAGAGGCCACAACAGTGAGAGGCCCATGTACCGCAAAAAGAAAAAAGAAAAAAAAAAAGAAAGAAATTAAATAAAGGTAGTAGAGTAGTGTCTACTTGTTTGCTTCCCCCTCAGCACCTACCACAATAGTGACTGAGTTGAATCAAAATATATGGCACCTACTTTTTGCTCAACTCTACCAAAGGCTACTTTAGAGGCAATCTACATACAATTTATAGGAAGTGAGCTGGGTTTATTTAATTTTCATTAATTCACAAAAATTTATCACACCCCTAGTCTATACTAGATACTGGGAATATATTAGTAGTTAAAACAAACAAATAAAAATTCTTGTCCTAATGGTACTCACAGTCTAATAAGAAAGACAATTTTAAAAAGCTAGATGACTAAAATAACATATATACTCTGTTAGCTGATGGTAAGTACTGAGGGGAAAAAAATAAAGCAGGGAAGGGGTACTTAAAAATGTAGAAGACCTGGGGGGCCAGAGAAGGCCTATTTAAGAAGATGACTTTAGGTCATGACCTAAAGCCATGGGTATCTAGGGTAAGAGCATTTCAGAAGAGGGAATAAATAGCAAGTGCAATGGCTCCAAAGTAGAAAGGACTATAATGGACGGCAGAGATACAACAGACCAGCGTGGCTGGAGCAGAGACGAGAGCAACAGGAGATGAAGCCGGAGTAATGGGGAAGTAGACCTAGGAGGTCGAAGGGGTCAGGCTGAGTTAGGAGGAAAATCTTCTGGGGTCTTCTCATATGTATCTAAACCAACAGAAAGGAATCAGAGCAGCCTTTGTTCCTGTATACTCTCTGTCACCATGGACATAGAGGTCACAGCCAAGGCAGTGGGCTCAGTTCCAGGTCACTCCAAGTTTGGAGGGATGCCTGGATTAGCTGGGCTAGTTCAGGAGTTGGCTCAGTTCAAGTCTGCACCACGGATCTTTCTGGCCTCTAATGCTGGGAACCACCCAATACTTACCATGGCACAGATTCAAATATCTAGCTGGCACACTATCAGGAAGTTGAGAAGGCATCAATTTTGGAAGCTTGTCTACTATTAGTATTTTATTGACAGATGTTAAGCCTCCTTAGTAAGTTGGTATATCAGCTATAAAATTCGAAAAGCTGTGTTTTACTATAGTGTACCAAATGTAGTGCTGGTTTTCTCAAGAGTACTGTGATAAAATGGCATGAAACCAACAGGGCATAAAAATCAGACAGGTTGACAAGAAATTCTTTACCACTCAAAACACTGACCTAGGTTCTATATTGAAAGTACTTTCCAATCTTGTAATAAATGTAAGAAAAATGAAGATTCTTCAACTGCCTCTGAACTAGCCTTATTTTTATATCAACTCTACAACTATTCAAGAAAGCTGTGATGCAAGAAAACAGCAAATCCAATATAAACATTAAGGTTATTTCTACCATGTGATGATGAAATCATATTTTAAACATCCCAATATTGTCACTCCCTAAAAATCAGCTAATGAATCAAATCTTCATTTCCAGAAACTTCAGTAGTAATATAATAATCAAATAGAAGATAAGCATCAATACAAAAAAATTTACAGACAAATGAAAGGAAATTAAAGGGAGGAGGGTAAGGAAAAAATGCCACCTAATTAACAAGAAAAATTAACATACACCTTTATAAGGTGTATGTGAATCGATGATTCTTTGGACAGCTGGTCAATATGTACCAAACATTCAGTGAAAAGTGTGACCAAGTGGCTAGCTTTTGGAGTTTAACAGCTGCTATAAGAGGACACTTTATGAAACAATGTGCCTTTATTTTCTAATCTAAGCAACTATGACAAACAATGCTTTTATTTGCCACTTGGTGGCGATATGCACACATTTATGGTTTCATTCATTTCCTAGTTCAACAGTCAGTCTTTATTTTCAGAGTGATTCAACAAGTTTTTCCTCATATCCTGAGATGAGGTCTGGAAAATACCTTACAGATTCAAAGAAACCTTTTTATTTAGCCCAATATATAAGATTAGACAAAATCCAAACACATCATTTACATTTTTTTATTTTGGCAGAATCATTACCCTTTGATGATTATCCATACTTCCCCTAACACAAAGTTGAAGAAATGTTAATATGTCTAATGGCATTTCCATATCTTTAACAGAAATTTGCCTCTAGACAAAATAATTTTTTCTTTAAGTTTATTTTTCAATTTAAAAAGACCTTCGATTAAAAAGTAAAACTAGCCACTAACATACTAAGTGGGATACCAAATATGTTACGCAAATAAATACTCATCATTAGGCACAAAAGTGAATCCTGAGAATGATTTAAGATTTTAGGATAAAACTTCCTACCCAAATATTTCTAGCATCATTCACTGGAGTTATTTTGTAAGCCAAGATGACTGTGGTCATGTCCCCAGGTTACCTCATGCCTAATGCAAGAAAGAAAGCAGATCTTCCTCTTTCCGCTGCACTCCACTAAGGAGTAAGGGACAAGACCTCTTCCAGTAAGAAGCCCTGCCAGTTATCCAGGAGGCTGACCTGTGTTAGCAGCCCCTGACGACTAATACCTTTTTAAAATCAAGTAATTTTAATAGGTTTTTACCTTTACTGTAAAACTAGTGCATGTCTCTTCTGGAAATTTTAATAATACAATAAACATAGAAAGTAGTTACTCTGGCTTTTTCATCTTTTTTTTTTTTTATTCTTTGGAGTCAGAAGCTTAGATTCTTTGAGCTTTCCTCTGACTGGGGTTTTAGACCCACCAGGCTATACCCCAAATAATAGAAAGAAATTGAAAATAAGGGCAACCATAATAACAGTTAACCATTAAATCACCTATTTTAACTTGATAAACCACTATAGCTTTGTATTTTTAACAGTGACTAACAAACAGGAACCTTATCTGGACTAATTTTTTGAGTAGCTCTTCTTCTGTTATCTGCACTGGGCCTCAGTTATCCGCCGAAGTATTAAATGACTTAGTGACTTTTAAAATTCCCATCCAAGATGCTTTTGCACAGTACCTGGAACCTTACAGGTTGTGAGAAATAAAGAATAAATGAGTTAATAAATGAATCCAATTGTATTAAACTGAGCAACACTGCCCAGGTTGGCAGCTTATACAATGAACATATGTTTTCCTATCTTCATTAGATTCAGCCCAATCTCACTCTGCTAACGGTAAAAAGAGAATCCCAGACAAAGTGAAGTTTACAAAGTTTGTGTTTTTTAGACATCTTTAGGTTCTTCAGGTACCTTTTCCATCTTCAAGCCTTGCTGTAGATAATTAACACTCAAACATAAAATGCAAGGCTATGAAAATTAGGGAAATGAAAAAAATACGAAATTTGGAATTACAGACCCAGGAGTTCTAATCCTGCTTTTTATCAACTCCTAACTAAAGTGAATCTGGGCATATTTAAAGTCTCTGATCCTTAGTCTCCTCACTCACAGAATGGGGATTAAAGCATGCCTACTTTACAAGATTATTCTGAGGATTAAAATTTAAAGACATTTGTAAGGCATTTCCAGAACAATGTCTAGCTCATGACTGGTTACACCGAAGCTGTTCCTTCTTCAGATTCACTATGAAATACAAGGCTGACCTTTTAGACCCATCTCAAGTAATGAGGGTAGTGACTTACGCTGTTTTGCTTGGTGCAGGGAAAGGAGACAATCTCCTATATACACGTGATTTCATTATTGGCGGGGGGGGGGGGGGAGAGCGGACAGAACACCTGAATTTCCAGTACCAACTTCATGCAAAAAGGGGTCACTATCTCGATTTGGTTTCTTTGTCCCAAACTGCAGGTACCAACTTCTTCACATTTAACTCTAAATCAGATGATTTAAGTTCCATTAGTAAAGTAATGAGAAATTTAGTAAACTTGAATAACTAAAAAAGAACACTTGGCAGTATGAGTCCTAAATGCTGTTTTCAGCTGTTCATCCTCTTTGAGGATAACATTATCAACTAAATAGTTTCACCTTTTTTTCAGCTCAGATTTAGAGGACTTTGAGAAAGAAACTATTTAAAATTCTTCCAGCCTGTAAATTAATATACTACCTTTCCCTTCTCTTATGCATATGCTAAGATCTCCTTTATCTCACAAATTCTAAGATTCCACTCATTCCTTTCAATCCAACACCCAAACCGGAGTTTTCATTCCTTCTCCCAATTCAGTTTTGGTGCCTTTCTAGCCAATCCAAAAAAATCTTTCATCTTCCCCCATAAGCAGCCTTTGTCTACAAAATGCTTAACACAAAAATGCTGTCTGAAAGACAAAGGCTTGAGAAACTATTAACAAGAAAATTCCAGGAACTAAGTGAAAAAACAAATAACAAAAACCCACAATTATATACCAAAAATGCTGAAATTTTAAAAATACTAAGACAAACACTAAATATTAAAATCCCTATTATAATTTAGTTTTGGCTAATCTGATTTATAGGTCATTTCTGTAGTGCCACATTCATGTGGTATGAGTACCAGCTCAGCTTTGCTGGTTTTTTTTAACCTGAATAGGCACAGGGTCAGGGTGGAGAGGGCTGGGAGTACTTTTCTTCACAATCACTGTATAATTCAATTTGGGGGTTTAAGCCTTTTTCTTTTTAAAATGGTACTTTTGGGGTCACATTTCTTTATAAAACTACATTTTCCACCGAAAGGAAAGCTACTTTTTGAATGAGCTAATGTATCACAGAAATACTTAGAGAACACCATGCAGCCCCAAATAAAAACTATGGATTATTTCATTTTGTGAAATCACGGATTTAACCAGAGGATCTTTACTAAATAAGCCACAATTTACTTTGTTTCTCCTTCTTCAGTAGAGACAAATCCCCCATTTTTCATTTTGTACATGCAAATTAACCCAATAGAAACCATCCTCTTACTTGTATATTAATACATCACTTGCAAATTCATGATAGCTATTATTAGCCATTAATTAACTATCTACCAGAAAAACAATAATCTTACCTTTTTTCATTTCCATATGACTTCTGTGCAACTTTTGCATGAAGAATAAGTACTGTTTGATCCCCTCGCTCTTTTAAATAATTTCGCATAGCTTCCCTAAAATAAAATGTAAATATCACCATTACAGGGGTAAGATTTAGAGTATTACTATGCTCTATAATGAGAATACTTAAGAATATGTTTCAAACAAGCAACTCCAAAAATGAAAACAATAAAGCAAAACAAACCCATGAACTAAATTTAAAGAATATTATACGATGGGGAAACATATACTGCTCATCTTCAACTCTATTCTTTCTTCTTTGAAAGCTGTCCCTCGCTCTTGGAATTTATGATATAACTCAATTAAACCACAATTACAACTTAGAGAATAACTAGAATCACTTATGTACACTGCTAATTAGGCTTTAAACCCTTTATAAAATTAATGACATGCAATACTTTCGTATTTAATAATCTGATTCACTACCACCACTAGCCCCTCTCCTCCAGCTATTAGAATGAGTATTTTTTACTGAATACAAAGCCGTAAGAAATCATTAGGTCATACAAATTTATTATTACATGTTCTTAAAGTAACAAGCCTACAAAAGGACTAAGAAAGGGCTACCATTTATATACAGATACATAATTACTCTCAAGGATGTTACTAAACACATAAAGTTAATAAAAGCTAATGCAAATTAGTGAAAAACAATTAAATTTTGGAAAAAATACAATGTTAATTATTTCAAGCACAAAATACTCCATCTATCTATTATGCAAGTATATAAAAAATTCAGTGCCTTAAAAATATTTATTCACCCAATTATTTTGCTAAGCAATATGAGAGAGTATAAAGAACACAAGGTCTACACAGATCAAACTTTACATTTCTGAATCAGCAGAATCCCAGTTCTTGAGATGTTTAACACATTACAAAATAAAGCAAAAGTGCTTCAAAGGCAATCATCAAGAAACTTTTAATAAATTGAATGCTATTTTTATTTATAAGTAAAAGACGAATGTATAGGGGATAGCTATAGAATAGTAGTAAGTTATTAAATGTGGGGAATTCTAGACTTCTGGCACTTTGAAACTAAGTGGCCTGGGGCAAATCTCTTAACCTCATCTAGCTTGAGTTTCCGTATCTGATAATAACAATAATGCTGACATAACATAGAGTGGTTGTGGGGATTAAATGAGATGACAGCGTTTATGTTTACTGACTGAAAACCTTTTGGCTCAAGGCAGGAATGGTAACACTGGAATCCAACAGATTGCACATTATTCCTTACCACTGAAACAAAGCTCAAAGTCCAGTAAAGACAGCAAAAAATGTTTGGAAAACAAATTGTAATGAGATTCATGTTCCAAATAGAGGTATGACCGAAGAGCTCCAATAGGGAGTGCCTATGTAAAGGAGGGGAGGGGTGATAAAGGACCACTCCTAGGAAAATTTTCTTAGAAGAGCTAACTTCTGAAGGAAAAGGAATAGTCACAGTAAGTGGGAGGAAGAAAGAGTAAGGCATTCCAGGGCCAGGGAGAGAAGTATGGACGAGCAGGAATGACCCTGGAAATTTGGGTACAGTAAGACATTCAGGCTGAGGAGTAAACCAGCCACAGATGACCCTGGAAATTTGGGTACAGTAAGACATTCAGGCTGAGGAGTAACCCAGCCACAGAAAACAACAGTAGCTAAGACTTCTTGAGTGTTTACTATGTGCCAGGCCCTGAATAAATGCATTATTTCACTTAATCCTCATAATCCAAAAGGTAAGTATTGTTAATACCATGCTGAATGTCTTGCAATTAATAAATGGTAGTCAGGAAACTGAAACAAATTCTCTAAAATTCTAAAGTGAGCCATGGCAGTGAATAAAATTGAGAAGTTGGGTACAGTCAAATTGTGAAAAGCCTATCAAATCCCTTGAAAACCTGACATTTGTAAACTTAAATACTAAGTATAAAAGTTTAAGCTAATTCAAATATCACCCTATGATAAGATGGTGATAAAAGTGGTAGCAGGTAATAAAAATTTTAAGACACCTAGAAAAAACTTAAAATCTTAAAAAAAAAAAAAAATCCATCTCTTTGAGAGTTAGGGGAAGATGATCATTTAATTTTATCTCCACTCCATTATAGAAAAACACCATGCTATGGAAAGTGGATTTTCAATCTACACAAAAGGCAATGCAAGATCTTGAGGTTTCTTTTAAACATACAGTTAATTTTCCTTTTAGTTAATTCTAGTGGTGAAATAGAGAAGGGGTTTTAGAAAGCATGGGGAAAAGACAAACTTGAAAAAAGGCTGACACACCAAGAAAGAGGTAATAGAAGACAGTACAGGAGAAGACAGGTTTTAAGTCTTGTTTCAGGAGAAGCAAGCATTAATAGGTTCTATTGGACAAATGTCAACTCTGAAGTGCCCCAGAACTCCAAGCTGGAAGTACTTAATAGGTTGTTGGAAACAACCATCTGTAGTTCCAGAGAGGGATCTGGGCTGGAAAAGTAGGGTTCATTGGTATACACAGTTCATAAATAAAGCCATGGTAGTCAATGAAGTCTCCCAGAAAGAAAACACAGTGATAGGAGAGTCAAGAAGAAAATGTATAAAAGGAAATGAAGAACCAGTAGGGGCAGAACTGAAACTGTCTATTAGATGCTATGGAAGGAGACAACCTCAAAAGAGGGGAACAATCAAAAGGTAAGATGCTGGAGAGGTGAAGGTCATTTTAATTTTAGCAAGAAGTCTAACAGCCACCAGCTAAAGCCTCACAGGTTATTTGTAAAATGAGAGGCCATTGTAATGCCTAACAAGTAAGAAAAGAGCCATAGGTACTATCTGGAAATACCCTCTAGGGAATGGAGAAAGAAGCTGACTATGTACAAGTAAATGATTGAAAATCGGTATTGAAGGACTGGCTAATGTTGAAATCCATAAATGATAGTGTCAAGTCCCACTAACATTCCAAGGGAATAGAGACAGCACATTCTCAAACCTGCTGGGTACTGGACAAGAGGTGCAGCGTGGAGAGGATAACGATTAATAAGGGATTTGAGGTGTTACTAAGTCACGTGACTGACCATAGCATTCAAGGTAGATAAGAAAACAAAAGCTAAGCCAGGAGGTCAATATCTTGACAAAACTGGCACAGAAGCCCAGTCACTGGCATAAAAAGTGAAAAGTTGCTATATACTTGAAAAAAAATTTTTTTAAGAAACCATTTTAAATATATTTCCCCATGCTGAATTCTATTTACAGTCTCTATTTTATCATTTAGCAATTACTTGATATGTTTGTCATATTTCATGTCTTTTTTCTTTGTCTTCCCAAATAGTATGCAAAGCCTTTAAGACACACTATTAGGTACATTTTAGAAATGGAGGAGGGGTTAAATAACTTTCCCAAGATGATACTGAAGTCCCAGGATTCAAATTTAGGCAGTCTGGCTTTGGAGGACAAAATTAATACTATCAGATATTTTTGCACTGGTATTATGAGCACAGCTTTGGTATGAAACAGGGAGGGGTCTGAATCTTGACGCCTGTCAATTACTAAGCCTGAGTTTTCTCACCTGTTTTTTTTATTAAAAAAGGACAGTAATAGCTCATATTGTGAAAAATATTTTAAATTAAGTACCCCCACAAACTGACAAATATCCAGTGTCAGTAAACTCTATTATTATTATTTTCTGAGAACAATGGCAGGAGGGAGGGGGAGATGGAGGTCACACTGAAGTTTAAGGGCAAACCTGAAAATGACCTGGAGGTAAATCATCAGGTGTCTCACCTGACTTGCAAGGCACAAGTTTTTGCAAGCATAATAGGTAAGCTGCACTTTTATACATCTTCCCATTAAAGATTTATTGAGAACCTATTACATCCCAGGCACTGGTTACCATGCTAGCTGAACTGTTCACAATAATGATTACGACAAAAGACTACAGATCTCAAAGTATTTATGATGAATGCAAGATGACAGCTCTCGTTTTCCTTGTCTTTTCCCTTCATATTTATAATACAAATTCTTGAAAAAAGCAACTAGAACCTTAAGTAACCATTAATAATAGTTGTCCTATAGTAGTAATTTGCCAAATAGCTTCTTTCAACAAGAAAAAATTTTGCTTTGTTAATAGAATATCAAACATTAAAATTATGTTATCTGGCAGTTAAAGGTTGACAGTTTTGTTGTGCACCTTAAGGAGCCGTTAAAAAAGATATAGGCAATATACTCAAAAGAAACACAATTAAAAAGTAAAGACCATGGGCTTCCCTGGTGGCGCAGTGGTTGAGAGTCCGCCTGCCGATGCAGGGGACACGGGTTCGTGCCCCGGTCCGGGAAGATCCCACATGCCGCGGAGCGGCTGGGCCCGTGAGCCACGGCCGCTGAGCCTGTGTGTCCGGAGCCTGTGCTCCGCAACGGAAGAGGCCACAACAGTGAGAGGCCCGCGTACCGCAAAAAAAAAAAAAAAAGAAAAAGAAAAAGTAAAGACCATGGAATGACAGCCCATGTGCTCTTCATTTAGTGTGGTTAATTGAATAGGGTTTCAATTTCAGCAGTGTTGAAATCCTGGGCTAAACAATTCTTTGTTGTGAGGGAGCTGTGCTGTGCATCGGAAGGTGTTTAGCAACATCTCTAACTTCTACCCATTAGAAACCAATAGCACCTTTCCTACAGTTGTGACAACCAAAAATGTCTCCAGATATTGCCAAACGTCAGGGGGGTAAAGGGGGAGGTCACCTGGGTTGAAAACCAGTGGATTAAAGAAAACCAAAAATGTTCCAACAATAAGTTGAGAAGATCACTCAATGTCTTTTTAAGAAAGAATGAGGGAAATTTTGTCATTTGAAAACATAATATAGGTGCTGTAAAAACGTTACCAGTAGAATTACTACTTTGTTTTACTGAATTGTTAAAAAACAGTAACAACAAAGCTAAAACTCATAATTTGTTGTAACAGTTACTATCTAACAAGTTTTGAAGCTTATGTATTCTTTGTTATTTCATTTAATAAATAATTCCTTATAAAATATTCATTCTGAAAGCCATTTAACAATTATCTGAAGAACACCATGGAGCAACTATTT